AGAATCTTAGTGATGATGAATTCTTTAACTCAGTTGTAACTACAATTAAAGCTAAACATGGTACAGATGACTTTAGAAATTGCCGAACTGCAGCGCTACATCTTGTTGATTACTTTTGGACTAGGCAATTTTTTAACATAAGCTCATGGTCTGGACTGGGCAAAACTAAGGATAAAATTAGGTTTAAAAACTTTTTGAAAACTATAGATGTTTTCAAAGAATGTGTTTCCGTGTGTTGCCCTCGAGATGTGGAATGGACTGTATGCAAAAATGTAAAATTTTTACAAGATCAAATAAATAATTCGGGAAGTAGATTAAACAGAGATCAAAACCAAAGAACAGCAGCGTCCCGTTCTCGCATGAATACAAAAAAGAAATTGACTAATTATAAAGCTTCAACCAATAGACCGGAGGAGGAAGAAGAGGAGGATGAGAAGGAAATCGAATAAAATTATTTTTTAACTTTTATTTCATATTCCTATTTCTTTTTTTTTGAACAAAATACAAGTTTTTTTTTACTTTCCATTAAAAATTTGTTATTACCTTCTTAAGGATAAGAATAAAACATTTTTATTTTATTTATTTTTTATTATACGTACTTTCACATTTATAAAAATTCGTTTACAGGAAATGTATGATGCATAGGCACAAATACAGTTTTATCAAATACAACTACTGCTACTAGTTTACACAAAACATCTTTAAATGAATACTTCTCAAGATTATGAAAGTCGTGCCATTCAGTTTGAAATACATTCAAATGTGTTGAAAGTAAAGGATATTTAAAAAATTCTTTAACGTCTCTTAACTTTAGTCCAAATATACCGTTGGGGTTGACATATTCCATTGCTATAATATCTCTATTCCTGTTCATAAACCATTTGTTTTCAAAATTACTCCTTAATAGGAAACCTTCTCGTAATTCTACGTAGTGATATTTAGAAATATCATTTTTTACTGGGTATTTAAATAACGGATAAACGTCAATTTTCTTTTGGGAATTAATCTGACTTGATGTAATTTCAGAAAGCCTGTTTACTATTTGGCACAAAGGAAATCTTCCACTTCTTAGCATTAGCTTGATTTTATACAAATTATTTTCAAAAGGATACGAAGATAAAGTCGATAAATCACCAAAACGTTCCACTTCATCAACAATGTGATTTAAATTATGGATATTCATAGTTACGCTTCTGAATATTCTATAATTAGTTTTTACGAATGTGTCAAACAGTTGTCGAGCGATTGGCAAAAATCGGCGATAGTAATGTGTTGAACAAATAGTCACAGCACAAAATAAATTTAAATAGTGTTTATAGTGTACTTCTGGTAAGTGAGGCTTTAATACAATGATTCCAATGTAATTAAGAAACACACTACACTCTGATGCTTTCCAGTGTGATAAATAATTTAGTCCTCGGACAGCTCTATGAAATTCCGCAGGAAGTTTAATTCCAACTAGAGTTCTAGATATGTCATCTAAAGTACCATTTGACCATTTTGATATAGTCATTCCAGGTTTTCCATTTTTATAGGCTTTTAGTAATGTTTTTGTGACACCTAAATGCAACAAGTGTAAAGAATCAGCAGTAATTATATCTTCTACCAAATCGATGGGCAATTTAAATAATGGCGTTGTAACAGGTAAATCAGCACAATATTGATAATGGTCTTTATATTCATAGGAACGAAAACCTGCATCAGTTCGTTTAGTAACATTTATGCGAGGAAAAATATTGCAGCCTGTTGTTCGAGAATAAAAACCGACTGTGCAACATTTTAAGCATCCGTTTTGGTTATTAAAATTGACAACACCTGAAAATTAAATTTAAGTAGAAACAGAGACACAGACCAATTAAAAAACTTATAAAAACCTTTAATAAAAGCTCGAGCGGGTGAGTCACATATAAAAGCCCGCACCGCAACAGTTAAATGATTCCCATTGATTAATAATCCTGAGCCTAATATAGAAATTGTTTCATCCACAAAAGGTTCAAGAAATTCTGTCACCAATTTAGGTTTTGATTTTCCATAAAAAAGTCCGATTATCATCGGTCGAATCTGTGGCATGGTATGGATATTAAATAAAATTGGCCAAAATTGATCAGTTCCATTTTCAAACAAGGGCAAACCATCAATACTAACGTTTATTTTAATGTTTAATGGTTTTTTTAGATCATAAAAACATTTTCGAAGACAAAACTCAAGTCCTTGATGCCAGTAATTTCCACCACTTATATTTTGAATGAATGCCTTTTGTCGCGGAGTTCCTGTAAAAATTTTTTTTAAATATAGACCTAAGGGAGAGAAGTCTATACTTACCCATTAATGATCGAGGATCTTTAGGTAATCTTGAATTATATTCTTCATTTAACTTGCCCAATAATGGTTTTAAGGCAATCTGTGGAATATTGAATTCAATTGCCCAGTTCTTTAAAAATATTGCAATATTATTTTCACCAACATTTAAGTACTCATTGTTCGGCTCCGTCTCATCAAATATTGAGATATCCATATTCAAAAAATCATTTTCAAATACTTCGTGTACCAAAATTTCACATTCAGGATCAGCATCTGTTAACGTTGATATTTCTTTTAAATCATTTTGAAACTCATTGTTTAACAAAGGTTTCTGGATAATGTTGGTGGTACTTTCAGATAATGAAACATTTTCATCAGAAAACAGGGCATGATATGTTTGCACCTTCCGACGATACGTTCCACTGCGTTTAATTTTTCTCCATTTAGCTGCATTTTCCATTATTAATTATTGATGTGAATTACACACAATGTAGTAAAATAAATATGTTTCTTTAACTTAACATAACCTTCTGTTGACTGCTGAATGGGTGGGTAGTGACAGATCAACTTACTGCATGTTACCTGCATACTGATTCTGATTGACACATATCTTTGAATAAACCATTTAACAACGGTTTAATGCAGGTCTACCTCGTAACTACTCTGCAAATTAACTTTAGCAGATGACCTGCATTTAATTTGTGTCAGAAAATTGTTTACAGGGCGGTAAAACCTGCACAGGTTCTGCAAATTACCTAGACAAAATTATATTTCTTTTGCAGGCTATATGTAAATGAGGCCTGCTTTTGACTAGACGCTAATTAATTTATGCAGGGAGCATCTACTAGCAAAGTTAATATGCCGATCGTATGCAGAATATTTAAGTTCATCTAACACTAAAGATCATATGACAATATTGTGCAGACATATTCGACGTTTGTAGGTTATATAAAAGCAATATGCAGTTGGAAAAATTACTGCAGGCTATTTGCAAAGCATATGCAGTTAAATTATGCAGGTCTGAGTTACTTGGGTAGCAAGAAAAAAAGTAATGTCAACTTGTCAAATAAAAATATAAAAGTCATATTGTTAAAATAGATTTTATTGGCATTATAGACACGCAGCAGACCCTGCAGACCGCTGCAATGAATATGTTCTCTCATCCAGTGAGGATTTTCCCTAGACCAATAGAGGCAATTTTGACGATTAGCATGACCGTAAAGTGTAAAGGTACACTCATCAAATTATGTAACATTGCCATCATTTGTTCACAAAATTGCGTTCTCCTATCAAAATCGTCTTCCATGAGCGAGTTGGAGCTATTATTTTATAGGGATGCATTTTATTTTCTTTTAATGTTCGAATAATTGATGAAAGGCTAATATCGAACATTGCTGCTAGTCGACTATGTGGGTTTTCCTGAATCTCGAACATAATATCCAACTTGGTATCATTAGTTATTGCATTGGTAGCTGTTTTTTTTATCTGCTTGCGAAACTGCTTCTCTATTTTACTAATTGTTCCTTAGGATATACGCGGCAAATTTGGAAATTTTTCATGAAATAAGCGATCAACTTCCATTTGAGTCCGTATGTTATCTCCATAACCAATCATCTGTAGAATTGTTATTTTGTGCATTTCTGTTAAATGAACCATTTTTCTGATATGCAGTTAAGGAAATTCAAACGACTATAACACTGACAACTACTATCATGCAGTCAGATAACAATTTGCTTAGGTCAGGCGTTTTAAACAAAAGTAAACAAAATTATTTAAGTATAGCTTTTTTATTTCATATCATTAAAAAGGAACGCTGAAATGGTTTTTGAAGGCTCTAAATTATTTTCGCTCCCACCATTTATTAGACTGATGCCTCTGGCAATTTCTCGAATATGCATTTACCAAATTTGTCATCGTTCTAGTGTATTCTGTGAATTATTCACTACGACTAGCCATAGGCGTCGAACTGGGGATTAACTTATTTCTTTAAATATTTTTGACAATCGAACAAGGCAGCGATGATTAGAGCATAACCGCATTGATCTGAAATGGCTGTACAATTACAGTACAATAATTTTATATTTTTATAAAAATCATAATGACAAAAAATCGCAACTAAGCACACAAACGTAAAGATTCTAATTTCTAAACCAGTTCTGTAAATAATTTGTAAACAACTTTGGTACATACAGTGTCGACCATTGAACACTTTGCTAATGTCAAAGTGAAAACCACAGAAAGTTAGCATTAGTTGCCAATTTAAAAGAACTGGCCGCGTGGGAATATATCTCGTTTTGTGCTGAACCATTTAAACCGACAATGTTGATATTCGTTTCCGGCTCGCTCTAATGGTAACTCTCTGTAGTTTTCTCTTTGACATTAGCAAAGAATATTTATTGGAAAACGTTCAACAGCCGACTGCATGGATGAGCATTCTATAGAACTATAATCATTATTATTAAAACCAACCAAGAATAAGAATTACACTAATGTCTTAGACCTCTCGAGTAATGCCTCGGGCAAAAAGTTATTTAAACAAGATAATTAAAAAAACATTTTATTTAGTTACATACACTAGAATTTCAATTCAATTTTACAAATAATATTCATTGTTTTCCACATATTTTTATTACAAAATAAAAAACTATTATCTAAAATAATATGTATAATTTATTATTTTCTTAGCTAATGTGTAGAAGTCAGCGATTTTGCTTGATGGTGTTTCTTTTTCCTCTCACAGCGGTAAAACCCTGTGGTACCCTTTTTTCATAATAATAAAGATCTTCCCATGGCTGTAGGACCGGGTAATTTTGCCTGGCGTCTTGTTTAAGCAAATAGTTTATTAATTTATCATCATCTATATTATAAGATTTTTGGAAATCTTCGTTGTAGATACTTGGTTCAAGACTATCTGTCTGTGATTTTTTGCCTCTTACACCCACAAATCCATATGGTACCGTCATGACTAAGTTAAGGGTGCTCAGTAAAAGTACTGATAATAATAAAACATTCATTTTTATTGATTGAATCTAAAAAAATAAAAACAAGTATTAGAGGTTAAAACAAAATTATTGATACATTTTTTTTTGTAACGTTTTAAACAAATTTCAAATAAAGCTTGGGGGTGTGTTTTATAGCTCTGGTGATTCAATCGGGTCTAATCAGTGACGAGAAAATGGTGGAAAATTTGGAAGAGCAGAGGTACATGCCAATAGACGAAAAGATATACAATGTGTCCCATAGAAGTATGCAGATACAGGGTGTTACAAACCAAAAATCCTAATTAATTTTTTCTCAAAATTCCAAAATAAAAAATAGGTTGCATAAATTCCACTGTCTTTAAATTAAGAATTTAGCGAATACGAGTAATCACAAAAAATACGATAACTTTATTAACTTTATAAAATAAATGCATCATTCATTTATGTTATTTGCAAGATTTTAAGACAGTGAAGTTTTGCAAAATATTTTTGTTTTGTTTTTATGGACTTTTGAGACAAATGGTATTTAGGTTTATGTTTTCCCTCGACTGCCCCAACACATCTGTACAATATTGGCAAGGAATTCGATAACCCTGTATATAATGAATCAGTTAAATGAGATAAAAGTAATATGGTATAAAAATGTCCTACATATCTAGGACCGTCTTCTGGTTATTTATAAAAAAGTAAAACTAAATAGACAAAACAACACGATACTCATTTATTAATTGGTTTGATTGTAGTAAACTGATATTTATATTATCAAATGCATAAAATGTTCTCTATTGACTTTTTGACAGTAAATATTGTATTTTTAGTTGTTTCCCTCAGTTAATTTTAAATTTGAAAACCCATTCAAATGACCGACCCCTGTTGCCGTACAGTTACCCTGCGCAAGAGGTTAAAATTAGTGCAAATTTTTTATTCTAGAAATGTGCTTCATCAGAAATAAAAACCGATCTGTTCCAGCATTTCTCGAATATTTTACCGTACAGAAAGTTAGGAGATGGCCAACACTTTTCGTTCGCACTGTATAAAAGAGAATCCGTAAAAATCCAGATCAAGTTATCAAACTTATTTAACTTTCTTCAAGAATATTGAAAATTACTAGCTTAAACCTTAATTTTGATAGTAATAACAATACACCATGCACCGTTTCTTTGTCACCTTTTTAATAAAAATTATTAATAATCAGGTATAGGTTTGAAATTGAAATTAAAAATATAAATAAAATACGTTTATATACCAAATTACAAAAAAAAATATGTAATTTGGGTTTTAGTCATTGTGGTCGTAGAAAAAGTATAGTGCACTACTCGTGCAGAAATCTTATTTCACACTGGTGTTACAAGTTTCACATGTCGCCTCGTGTGGAATAGACTACTTTCTGCACTTGTTGCACAATATATACTATATATTACAACCACAGTTCAAAACACGCTTTTCTGCATAGTTTACGTCAATAAATTTGATAATTTGTTACGATAAGTGAAATATTACAAAAGGATACCCGAAAGTAACATTTATATGACGATGACGAAAAATTTTACACAAATTTTGAGACACCATTGCGCTAGTTGTCTCGATCACCCGAGCACACTATGTTGCTAGGCAACCGAATAACGCTATTTATCGAGTCACTTTATTGCATATGTCCGCAAACGTTGAACATAAAATATTTGTAAAGTATATGTTCAATCCTGTTTCATTAATTTTAAGATAAGGTAAGCTAAAATTGATAGCGTTAGTTCTGAACGAAGTTCTGAAAGTGTCCATCAGAATTAGAAGAACAAGTTAATTTGACATCACTGAATTTACTACCATTCAACTAAAACGTTTATTTCTTTAAAGAGTTTGTTATTTAATTTATTTTCACTAAAACAATTATTTTTTTTACTTATAAGTACACTAATTTACTTTTTTAATGTATCTTAACAACTTGAGATCTTAACTAAAACTGATTATAACGGCAAACTTGGGCTATTTATGTAAAAATATGACATTCCAGACTTGTTCTCGAAGATTCTAGACGTCTTTCGACTAAGAATAGTTACCTCCACCGTTTTCTAGACTGATGCATCCACATTAATTTGCGATTTCTAAATGTTTCGTCACGGGTCCAATATTTTATAGAACAGAACTGATACTTAAGTTGTTATAAAGTCTCTAAGAATGGACATTTTCATTGAATATCAGATCACGTAGGATACAGATTACAAATAGTTTATGAATTTTACATCTAAAAGTGTTTCTGAAAATATAATTATTGCATATTTTGAAGAGCTATTCAAATAAAAAAAAGCTTCTACTGTACGAGAATATGGTTGATTTATTCAATATTAAAATCGACTATTAATATTAATAATGGTACTGACACATTTAAGTATTTAAACAACGCACTCTAATATCCGAAGAAATATAAGAAGCACCGGACATTCTAATAAATAATATTTGTTTTATCTAAACTTAATTACAGTTGTATTTTCAGCAAAAGTGTGGTTGTAGAAAAAGTATAGTGTGGCAAACAAGTGCAGAAATGCATCTTCAAGGTCGTGCTAAGTTAGCACCTTTCTACACTTGTTGCACATACTATTATTAATTAAATATAAATAATATGTACACCTACGTACGCACAATTGTGAAAATGACAAAATAATAGCATAGACATAATAATACAAATAAGGCAATTAAATGATATATAAATTAGGCAAAATATTAATTAACCACTGATTTAAAGTATTAACCAAATTATCAAATGTCAAAATGTGAAGGAATTTTGATTTATAATTAATTCTTTCGTAACCAGAAATAAAATCTTTTGTTAAATAATCAGATTATTAATTACCTTTTTAATATACTAGATAAACTTTTTCAAATGAAATCTCTTCGAACACTGGGTTTTCTATTCCGAGAGTTTTTCTCTTTATATGAAAACCCGCCCTAGTTTAATTATATTTACATTCTGGGATCATTTAATTGAAGTATCTTGTATTAATTTCAACTGGGAAAACAAAGAGCATATTGGACAAAATCAGTGGCGGACACATTAAAAAAGTACCTATTTGAGAAAATCCAGGCGAATAGAATATAATTTACTATTAAAAGGATTTTTTATTTTCACATCACATTGAAATTATAAAACTAATTTGGAGAGTCGTTAAAAGAAAATTTTTCATTCTTGGTACCATTTAGAGGAGTAATATCCGCAACTTCGCATGTCCACATCTTGTACAATGGTCTCTGCTCTTTTGACTTTCTTCTATTATGTTGCTACTGTCTAAGCCAACTAAGCCCAAGTGGCTTGTAAAATCTAAAGCTCACACAATTGTTCTCTCATTCCTTGACCTGAATATTTAAACTTTCATTACACATCACTATCCAAAGAGAAGGCGGTAAACAGAACATCTTGTGACGTCACTCATAATAGGACATGCGCGGACGTGCTGCTCATTGATTTTGATTTTAGCCTTTCTATACTTCATTCAATTTTTTTTGTGGAACATAAATTATTTTCATTTTAGTGTAGGATAAAGTTTTCTATTGGGTCAGGATAAAAAATAATATGTAAACCACGGCAATCAAGTGATTTTCCAGTGTCCAGGCTCGGCTCAGCCTCGCCTTTCCATATCTTTACTCGGCCTGGAAAACAGTCACTTTACTGCCTAGGTATACAATATTATTATTGAGTTGTGTTCTAGAAAACTCCAATCAGTGAAATGTTTACTAGCACTAGCAGTCGCATTGCGATAATTACACAATATTAAATTTAATTCATTATTATGCAGTGCCTATAAAGGATATATTTTGCCGATATTGTGCCGATTAAAAGTTGACTGGCTGGAGAATACTTTCTCGCATTTAAAACAAAACACACCCATTTTTTTTCTTGAAATACAATCGAATAATAATAATAATAATAATAATAAAAAACCCAGAGCAATAGATCTAAATTCTCAACTCAAGCCACAAAACACCCACAGAAAAAACACTACTCAAGCAAATAAGTTTGAGGTAAAGTTTATTTCCAAGAGACAAGCCATTTTAATAAGTGACGTCACGGCACGAGATGGTCTCTTCACCGCCTCTATCCTAAGTAGGCTTTCGCGCTTCGAAATACAACCGTAAAGTTGACGTTTTTCCTAGAACTGATATTAAGTAACGGCTCTGTCGCTCGTCGAGCGGAAAATTTGACATCTTTGTTGCTCGCCTAATTTAAATTAGCTATAATATAATATTTCTTTTTAATGATTTTCAAGTTATTTGTACGTAGTTACATTATTTTTTTTTATATTATCAAAGTTAACATGGACTTTGAATATCAACTGCTTTTTTCAAGATTAACGTAGGCATAGGCAACATATTATACAATACTTACGACAAATTTTCAGTTTTTATATCCATTTCTTAAAAAAGTGTGATCGTAGAAAAAATCTTGCGTGCATTTTGAGCGAAAATTTCGTACCGGATTCGACAGATTGCCGCGCTCCGCTACGAGTCGCGCGAGAACTTTCTGTCTCAAGCGGCAAAGTATCACTTTACGCTCTTAATACACAAATAGGTACCTATTGTGCTACGTTAAGTAAACTCAACTGGCTGGAATAAGAAATAAATTAATATGAATGATTAATTTTTTGTTTTTTTTTGTTATCGGCTTCAACTGCTAAGGTTATTTCGCCTCGTGTTCTGTGTAGGCTTTGTTGCTGTTTCCCAGCGCCACTTTAGGAACAGCACTGTTAATTAGAACCCAACAGTGAATGGTCGAGTGGGGAATCCTACCAAGGCATCAGAATTAATTTTAATTAATTAAATTAATTAAAAAAATCCCGGCAAACGGTGGGATTCGAACCTGGGACCCTTGGATCCACAGATGTTTTATTTAATTATTAAATAGTATAACAAAGAAAAGTAAAGTGAGAAATTCGGTTGGGATCCGCAAAACTGAAATACAATTTTGGAAATATGAAAATATATAATCCCCAATTCCCACTACGAAATTATGAAAAATACTCCCCCATATATCCCCAAAGTGAATACAAACAAAAAAAAAAGCAGAATTAAAGAAAAAAAAATAAATGCATCGATCAAAGATTGAACCTTGAACATTTAGACTAGAAACGTCTGCGCCTCTACCAGTTGGTCTATCGAGACATGGCTTTGACAGTCGAACTCGTAGATTTTAAGTCAATCGGATTCCGACTCTCGTTGACACAAACATATAGTATAGGACGACAATATCTGATTGTACTAGAACAAATTTCTTAAATCCTTCATTCGTTCACCAGTGTTAAGTTTTCGAGTACGGTCCGCCGTATACGTGAAATTAATGAAAAGTCGGAAAATCGGTTGAGATCCGAAAAACTGAAATGCAATTTTTGAAATATGAAAAAATATAATATCCAGTTCTCCCTACGAAATTATGAAAAATGCACCCTCATATCCCTAAAGTGAAAACAAACCAAAGAAAAATTAAAGAAAAGAAAAAATTATAGCATCGACCAGGGCCGAACCTGGAAACTTCAGACTAAATCCGTCAGTGCCTTTACCAGTTGGGTTATCAAATCCATGTTCGCTGAATAGAAATTCCCGCAATTTTTCTTGCAATAAGGACTATTTCCAAGTACCACAGCGACTATGCAACACGGGGCTGTTTATCACATTATCACTCATTAGTAACTATAAATAATTTAGTCAACTCAACTGGTCAAAACAGCGTCACGTGACCCAAGCATTATTATAATCTCAAATATAATTTCTAAAAATGCATGTTAACAATAATTCATTTTTGGCTATTTATTTGTTTTGGTTCTTCAGAAAAGGGGAAGTGTAAATAATGTGTATTTCCTACCTTCTTCAGTCGCACTGGAAGGATCAGGGATCGAGTCTGAGGGGATGGGATTGAAGGAATGATGGTAGGTATCTGAAAATATGTTACTAACCACCAGCATTTGACTATTGCCATGAGATAACCTCAGATAGTAGTGGGGCTCGAACCCACGATCTACCGAATGCGAGACAGATAAGTTACGGCCGATCCACCTATTTCGGTCTTCAGAAAAGAAATATGTACGTATTATATAGTCGGTTTGGGTAGGACTCCAAAAATTCGGGATCGCCCTCAGGTATGTTTCTTCTCTACTTTATTCTGCGCCATTTCAATTTTATTTCCTATCAAGATTTACGGTATCCCACCATGTTCTCCTCGGCTCGCCTCTCTTAGTAGTTTTCTTAGTACAGTACAAATCTCACAAAAATCCTAGGTACGATATTTTTAGTGCCGGTTTCCTAGTGGATTGTTCTCATGTTCTTATAACACACATCACTCCTCTAATATGTTCATTTCATAAGACATGCTTTATATATAATTTTTAACTTTTTTTTATAAATTAAAATTTGTTTTAAAGGCACCAATCAGTTTTTTAGGTTCACTTCCATATTTAAATATTTACAGGAAGGGGAGCTAGGATAGAAGGTAGAATAGGTATTTTTCGCGGTTTTGTCGGGTGTATGAAGACTAGAGATAAAGTCGAAACTGCATACTCAAAATACGGCCCCAAAAAAACGAACGCTAATTGAGCTTTTACAATTCACCGCAGGGGCGCTAATGATAGATATGTTAAAAATACATGGCTTCTTATGGGAATTTTACATAATTTTGTTAAAATAATAAAAATAAACTTGTGTATTGCTAAATAAAGCACAGAAAATACCGTTGTATTTATTTCTAAATAAGACTTGCATATTTTAATTTATAAATTATTTAATTTTATCTATACCAAATGAAAATTAGGTAGATATATGACCAAATTCGAAAAGGTTTGTTGAATGGTGAAATTTTAAGTACAATTTTGTGACTAATTTTTTGAATTATTCCTAAATATAGTATTAAGAAGAGCAAAATAAAACATAGTTAACAGAATTTTAATATCATAAATCAAGCATAAAGGGAGATTTGGGAAAGTACATGGTATTGCCTAATCCTTTAATTTTGGCCTTTACTTTTTTTTATTTTGCTAACAGTACTATCAGTAAAGAGCGTCTCATAATATTTGGAAACATCTTCTGATAAGTGTAGCTTGCAAACAACATCATCTCTAGAAAGTCTTTTATCAGCCTTAGGAATAAGTTACTACTGTTCTATAAAAATAATTTACATTGACAAAATTGGGGTTCAACAAAACAACGGTAGTAACTAACATTAAAACTCTGAAAAAAAAAAACAAGAACCAAGCTTGGCAGACGTTCTAAAGTTATTGAAGAATTTAGGGTTAAACTTTCTTAAGTTAGGATATAAAGTTACAAAGACACCATATGATATGCGATTTACGTAATATATTGGTTGCATCCAATACTTCCTTTCTCTTCTACTCTTTATTTTCTTTACGAGCAACCAATGCATATTGTTTCTTCGACTTCTATTTTTGAACTGTAGATTAGTCTCTTCCAAGCATCCGCCCGCTGCGGACTCCTGTCCGAACAACTTCAATTTTTCGACGGTTGCAACCGCGAGGATTCCGCTGTGTCTAAACACGGCCTTAACTCGTTTAGCTTTTTGCATAATAATAATAATTTTATTCCCCAAAGTCTACAATTTAACATTTTTTAACTTTTTTCTTCTATTCCATATGAAGATGGAAAATAAATATCTCCACTGAAGTGTGAAAGTACGATATTTTCACTTTTCTTTTATAATTAATTCGAGAGTTATCACAATTTAATGGATTATATTCCTAAACTAAAAAATGTATTTTTTCTCTAAATATGAACATACATATAAAATAATCAAGATCTGATGTACCCTAATCCTTCTCTTTTGTAATCCCCTGTTTTTGTGTGTACGATGAGATTTAGTTGTAGGATAAACGATAACACATAACATTGTTGATTACCAAT